AGGTGGGGGATAAAAAATAAAAGAGCCAACAACAGGAAAGTAACATGACAATGAAAAGTCAATCCATTATAACCACAATTTTAATGGTCTCAATTCACCAATCAAAAGAAATAGACTGGCAGAATGGGTCAAGAAACAAGATCCAACAATAGTCTGTATACAAGAAACCCACTTAATTCACAAAGAAACTCATAGACTGAGAGTAATAGGATGGAAAACAGTTCTCTATATGACAGAAGCCCAGAAAAAAGCAGGGGTAGCTGTCTTATTTACAGACAAAGTAGATTTCAAACCAAAACTAAGAGAGAGAAAGAAGGCCACTATATCCTTGTAAAGGGAACAATAAAAGGAAGAGATGACAATCATAAATATATATGCACCAAATACTAATGCCCCCAACTATACAAAACAAATATTAATGGATATGAAAAGTGAAATAAGCACTAATACAATTATAGGGGGGAACCTCAATACTCCACTGTCATAAACAGACAGATCATCTAGACAAAAAAATCAACAACGAAATAACATAACTGAACCAAGCCTTTGAACAAATGGACTTAGTAGATGTCTACAGAGTGTTCCATCCCACAAAATCAAAATATACATTCTTTTCCACTGCACACAGGTCATTCTCTGAAATAGATCACATGCTAGCTCATACAACATGCTTAAGTAACTGCAAAGGAACTGAAGTTATCCCCTGTATATTATCAGATCATAATGCAATTAAACTAGAGATCAATAGCATAAAAAACCACAAGAATTTCACAAACACATGGAAATTGAGTAACACCCTGCTGAACAACCCATGGTTCACAGAAGAAATTAAACAGTGCCTACAATTAAATGATAATGCCAATACAACATAGCAGAATCTATGGGACACAATGAAAGCAGTTCTACAAGGGAAATTCATAGCAGTAAATGCCTGTATAGGAAAACAGATCGAGCTCAAATAAACAACCTAATGTTTAATCTTTAGCTCCTAGAAAAAGAAGAACAAGACAAACTGAAAGCTTGTACAAAGGAGGAAATTATAAAGATGAGCACAAATTAATGATATGGAGATTAAGAGAACAATAAAAAAATCAACAAATTGAAGATTTATCAAAAAAAGGAAAGAAAAGGCTCAAATTCATGCCATTCAGAATGAAAAAGGTGAAGTCACAACAGATCCAGCAGAAATCCAGAGGATCATAAATACCTACTTCGAAAACCTGTACTCTAGTAAAATGAAAAATGGACATATGAATTTCCTACATAAATATGGGTTTCCAAAGTTGAATGAAGAAGATATAAAAAGTCTAGACACTCCAATTACATTCAGTGAAATTGAAAATGTAATTAAAACATTACCAACAAAGAAAAGCCCCGGTCCTGATGGCTTTACTGCTAAATTCTACAAGACATTTTTTTTGTTGCTGTTATACTAGGGATTGAACTCAGGACTTGGTGCTTCCAAGGCAGGCAGCAGCACCACTGAGCTAAATCCCTGGTTCTACAAGACACTCAGAGAAGCACTACTGTCACTACTCTTTAAATTCTTCAATGAAATTGAAAGGGAAACAATACTTCAAAATTCATTCATGGAAACAAGTGTTACTTTGATTCCAAAACCAGGGAAAGATCCAACCAAAAATGAGAACTACAGACCAATCTCCCTAATAAACATACATGCAAAAATCCTCAATAAGATACTGACAAAGAGAATACAGAGGGGGTCATCAAAATATTATATACCCTGACCAAGTTGGATTTATCCCACGGATGCAAGGATGGTTCAAAATACATAAATCAATAGATGTAACACACTATATTAACAAAGTCAAGGGCAAAAACCATATGATCATCTCAATAGATGCAAAAAGCATTTGACAAATTCAACACCCATTCATGATGAAAGAAACCCTGCAGAACATTGGAATAGATGGTCTTTATCTCAACTTGATAAAGGCTATCTATGAAAAAACAACAGCCAACATCATACTAAATGGTCAAAAACTGAAAACCTTCATGCTAAAATCAGGAACAAGACAAGGATGTCCACTATCACTACTCCTGTTCAACATAGTTCTAGAAACAGGCACAGCAACTAGACAAGAGAAAGAAATAAAAGGAATAAAAGTAGGAAAAGAAGAAGTTAAACTGTCATTATTTGCTGATATGATACTCTACATAGATGACCCAAAAAACTCTGCCAAAAGACTTCTAAACCTAAGTGACAGATTCAGTAGAGTACCTGGATACAAGGTCAACACTCAAAAATCAAGAGCCAAGGAACAGGGAATTTGGCTTAGAGGTTTTGCCTCATGCCTCACCAGTGCAAGGGCCCAAGTTCAATCCCCGGTACCGCCCCCACAAAGAAAAACCCCAAAACTTGTTTTTAAAAATCAATAGCCTTCTTCTACACAAATAACAGACTCACTGAGAGAGAAATGAGGGAAACAATTCCTGTCACAATAGGATCCCCCCAAAAAAGAAATATTTAGGAATCAGTCTAATGAAGGAGATAAAAGACCTCTACACTGAAAACTACAGCACTCTGAAAGAAGAGATAAAGAGGATATCAGAAAATGGAAAGATATCCCTTGCTCCTGGATAGGAAGAAGCAATATAGTGAAAATAGCCATACTTCCAAAACTGCTACACAGATTTAATGCAATCTCAACTGAAATCTGAACAGTATATTTCACAGAACTTGAGAAAATAATCCAAAAATTCATTTGGAACCAGAAGAGACCTAGAATAGTAAAAGTCATTCTAGGCAACAGACACAGGACAGAGGGTATCACAATCCCCAACTTGAAACTATACTGCAAAGCCACTGTGATAAAAACAGCATGGTACTGGCAAAGAAGAGAACCAAGGATCAATGGAATAGATTAGAAGATGCAGAAACAACTCTAGACATACTCAGCTACCTCTACTTTGACAAAGGAGCCAACCATCCTCAACAGAGGAAAGACAGCCTCTTTAATAAATGGTGTTTGAAAAACTGGCTTTCAACTTGCCAAAGATTAAAACTAGACCCCCCTATCTTTCACTATGCGCTAAACTAAAATCCAAGTGGATTAAAGATCTAAATATCAAAACAGAAAGACTAAACTTGCTGGAAGATGAATTAGATAGAACTCTCAAAGACACTGGCATAGGAAAAGACTATGAACAAATACTCAGTAGCACAGGAACTTACATGAAGAATCAACAACTAAGATCTCATCCTATTAAAAAGCTTCTCAGTAGTTCCGCCACCTGACTTGCAAGCACAAGGGCCCAAGTTCCATCCCCAGGAAAAAAAAAAAAAAAAAAAAAAAAAGCTTCTGCAGTGCAAGAGAAACCACCAGCAAAGCTAAAAGACAACCTACAATGTAGGAAAAAAATTTTACCAGCTGCTCCTCAGATAAAGGACTACTATCTAGAACATATAAAGAATTCAAAAAAAAAAATCAGACTTCCCCAAATATAAAGACCCGATTCAAAAATAGGCATCTGAAATGAACAGACATTTCTCAGACAAAAAAGGAAAAGCAGCAAATAAATACATGAAAAAATGTTCTACATTACTGGTCATTCAAGAGATGCAGATGAAAACAACACTGAGATTCCACCTTGCCTCAGAAAGAATGGCTGCTATCAAGAAATCAACCAAGGCCCAGGGATTTAGCTCAGTGGTTCCGCCACCTGCCTTGCAAGCAGCAAGGACCTGGTATAAATCCCCAGTATAAAAAAAAAAAAAAATCAACCAATAACAAAATGTTGGCAGGGCTGTGAGGAGAAAGGAACCCTTAACCCTTCTCCATTGTTGGTGGGAGTGCAGACTGATGCAACCAATGTTGAAATCAATACGGAAATATCTCAAAAAACTAGGATTAAAGGTCCCATTTGACCCAGCTATCCTTGTGTTAGGTATTTTCCCAAAAGAATTGAAAGAACCATACCATAGCAATATATGCGTACCCATGTTTACAGTGGCACAGTTCGTAATAGCTAAAACTTGGAAACAGCCTAACTTCTCATCAACTGGAGACTGGATAAAGAAGATGCGGTTTTTCTATAAAATGGAGTACTACTCAGCCATAAAAAATGAGAAACTAGAGACACTTACAGCTAAATGGATGCACAATGAGGCCATACTCAAGTGAAATAAATAGGACACGCTTGAGTAAATACTGAATAGTTTCTCTGTTGTGAAAAATTAAAAGTGTAAATAAGGTTCAAATATTAACTGATGGTGTGAAATAGGAAGAAAATGTCTAAAGGAGAAAGGGAAGTGGGAATGGCTGGGGAAAGGAAATAAGGGAAAAGAAAAAAGGAAAAAATAGAAACAAAGTCTTTGTAAATAGGGAAGGATAAAGGGGGTGAAGGGCGGGCAGGGGAATGGGGAAAAAATAAGAACCAAGATACATCATGTTAAGGTACAAGATCCCAATGATGAATGTAACTGTATTTATTACCTTAAATGTACCAATAAACTTAATGAAAAAAAAAAAAGAAAAGCATTATAATTATGACATAAGTGAGTTCATCTTTGTGGAAATTACTACATATGTGTACATACACACATACTAGGTCATAATCCATATGATAGCAATTACTGTTAGAAAAGGTTGATTTATGTTGTATTAAATTTAATCAAGAAAATAAATTCTTAAAATGTCTTTATCAAGACATATTTTCTTTTCTGCCAGAAACTAATTATATTAATTTTGTATAAAACATTTCATTAATATAACAAGGAAAAAAATCAATTCTCCCACTTAACATTAACATCATGCCTGTCTCAAAACAAGTTGTATTACTGAATTTGTTAAAATTTTAAGGATAAGGGATTAAAATGACAAATTCTTTCCATTATAAAGTTTATATCTGAATAAATAATTGAAACCAAAAAATTCAATTAACATAAGAATGTGACATAAATGAGATTGAAATATTTTATTTTATAATAGTAAGAGGCCTAAAAACTGCCATCACAGAAATGAAAAGAAATGACTTACGATTGCATCGTTTTTGTACAAATCGTAATTTGCAAGCTGTTCTGTAAGTTGAGAGTCGGATGACATCAAAATTCTGAGCACCTGAAAAAGGGCAAATAAAAATTTTCAATTGGATTTGCCATTTAATTTCTATATGCTAGGAAGTGTGGTTCCCTATTCAACAGTCAAGTAGGCCCTCTGATAAAAACCAAACTGGAAAAAGGAAGGGTCAGGAAGCACCTTCTGGGGCCCACTATACACAGGACTCTGCCAACAGCTTTGCCTATTATCATCACATCTACTGGGCTAAGAAAACTCTGATGGCACGAACACTCATGTCCCAAGTCACTTGTTTATAATACATGGCAAGCATAGGTAACTGAGTGAATGACCAAGAGATCAGGAAATAGGTAGAGTAGGAAAGACCCAAACCTAAAGTCTAAAATGCTAAATTCCAGCCTTAGCCTGGCCATAGAATAGAACATGACTGTGGCTGTGCTGTATATTTCTTCTCAATCTCAATGTCCTTCCTTATCAGTACAATGAGGTTCCCTTCCACAGCATTATCTCCACCACAGTGTTTTATGCTCCTCTAATATAGATTTCTTTTTTTTTCTTTTTATTGAGGTTATTGGTACAATCTAGGTATACAATACAATTACATTCATCATTGGGATTCTGTACCTTCACATAATAGGTCTTGATTCGCATTTTTCCCCTTGTCCCTGCCCTCCCTTCACCCCCTCCTCCCCTCCCCATTTACAAACACTTTATTTCCATTTTTTCAGTTTCTCATATTTTTTTCCTCTCCCTTATTACCCTTCCCCCACCCTTCCCACTTTCCTTACACCTTTAGCCCTTTACTTACTATTTCACATTATTAATTGTCTCATTAGGATCCTGTGTACTATTATAGTTTTTCACACCAAAGAAACTATTCGGTATTTCAGTTAAAGAAATCTCTGCATGAACATCAAAAATAGGGAATCCTAACATAAAACTAAAAAGGAAAGTAAAAGAGAAAAGGCAATGATGTAACATCAAAATAATCCTTAATTCTGGAGATGAAAATGGTCCCCGAACACATTTAAATTGCTTCTCGCTCTTATAGTTTTATCTTATTCCTTTTTCATTATTTAGAGAATACTATATTAGTTTCTGTAATCAAACCCACGTAGATATGACCTC